AAGAAATAAAGAAACATTTATTTGGCACATAATAACACAAAAAAATAATATATATGCTAAAAACTAAATACCTATGATTAGAATGAACCAAAATGGTCACCATGGTAAATGTATTTATATTTTTATGTAAAAATACTTTGGTTTGTAACATTAAATAGGAGTTATATTTTATGGCAATAAAGCACAAAGCAAAACACCATCTAATTATGAAAGCTGTGTGTGCCTTTTTAGTATCCTTACCTATATAACTGACAGCCTATTTGTATAAAATGTATCCAAAAGTTATACGTTGGTCTAAGATCTGAATCTAAATCGATCTTCACCGAGCTGATAATAGAATAAAATTTGTTTTATAATAAATATAGTAATTTAGAAAATATATTAAAACTGGGTTGCCGTAAAAAAATTCTGGACAGAATATTTTTAATAATTTTTTAAGATTTTTCATGAAAAGTTGCAACATCAAGATATTAATAAGAAAATATTATCATGGATTTCAATATAAAACATATAGAATGTGCAGCCGGTTGGGTTGTCTATTATTACCTGGACGAACTAATGGGTTGTCAGGTGTAAACAGGTATGGCGGTATCAGTTACTTTCACTGATTGGATAATAGAAAAAAAAATATATTTTTGTTTTATATTGAAACCCATGGGTTATAAAAAAAACAATCATACGGCTCCTTTCCTCACACACACACACACACACACACACGACACACACACTTATTTCTTCATTCTTCCCACTTTAATCAAAGATTTTGTATGATCTTTATGTTTTGTATTTCAATCTATTTCCGGACTGTCGGAAACTGACATCTTCTTTCCGGGCCGTTCCTAAGTCGGGCATAATTACGGGATTTATGTCCTTCTATCTCTGCTCGGCGTGAGCACTTACACATACAGCGATGAGTTTGTCGGACCATTCGTATGATCGAATATAATGGAATTCTCTTAATCTTGCGAATACACTCTGACGAATGACAGTAATCAAAATTCAGTACTACACCAATCCGACGCCAAAATAAAAAAGGAATAAATGCTACATTCAAACTGTTGCTGTTTGAATTTAACAATTATACGAGTTGAATGGAAATTCGAATGTCCTGACGAGGCCTGAAGATGTCGTTACGACGCAGAAAATGCAACGGAACCGGTTTTCCAAACTAACCAAGATCAAAAGTTGGGCATACGGAGCTTCTCCTACAACTGTCGTTAGTGATGATATATGTATGTACACCTTACCATGCAAACTTTTTGAATGATTTCACTTTATCTGACGTTTAAATTAAACATGGCAATAAACATAAAGAAAAAATCTTTATTTTTTTTAAATTTTACTTATGTAAAGTACGTAATATTTCATTTGTGTAAACTGAAATAAGTATCTAGTAAAATGTTTTTTTATTGGTAAACGATTTGTTAGTGAGTAAATAATTAATCTATAATTATTTATAGATTTGTGACGTTGATTCCATTAATTCAGACAAATCACTATGAAAGTACACAAGTTATTGAATATCCGTATTACTAAAATAATCTTACTATGTCCTTATGTTAACTCAAACAATGCACACTTGGGTACATAACGTTGACAACGAGTTATTTATGGCAATAAAGCATTACGATCCAACAACATTTTATTATCAAAGTTGCTCCCCTTTAGTACCCTTATCTCAATAACTCACAGCCTATTTGACACTAAACTGTATCCAAAAGTTATATGGGAGGCAATAAGATCGTGACATCATTTGGAATTGAGTGCTATATTATAACGGATATGTACTTAGTTATACATAAAATAAATAATGTAATAAAGTTATATGACTCTAATCTTAAGGAATTGAAAAAGTCTTTCAGTTTTATACGGTTCAACACTGCAATAAAAGAATAATAATAGTGCTTCCTTATTCATCTGATTATATTTTTCTCACTGCAATAAAGCACTATTGTGAAATTATGATAAGAAACTTTTTTTTTTATATACAGGGAGATTTTTTGAGAAGTTCCCAAACACACAGGAGGTTCCGACTCGGTAGCATAATCATTTAGTGATATAAAAAAAAGTTTTTTTTTTCAAAAAAAAAAAAGCCATTCTATTCCCTAAAAGACAGAACGTGTTGACAGTGCGAAAGTCATTCATAATTTTTTTTTATGTCAACAAAAGTTGTCAAACGAGCAGACGGTTCACCTGATATTAAGTGAATAAATACCGCCGCCCATGGACATCTGCTACAACCGAGCGTTACAATGCGTTGACAACCTTTTGAAAATTGGGCTTCGGCTATCTCACTCTCCAGACGAAACGTGAAAGTATTTGTCACACTTCCACTTTACGCTGGTCTTCTGTGAGGTCGTGGTAATTACCCGGACAGGCCTGCCCATTCGTGCAACAGCCGAGGCTGCTGCGTGGCCCTACCACCGTTGTGTGCGTGTTAGTTATGAATGATCGCGCGTAAAATAAATGAGTTGCGTATAAATCACGCACTTTTTGAGATAAGTTCAAATGAATGTAATTAATTACTTACGAGTGATTTTAAATATTTATCATTATTCATATAACATTATTTATGTCTAGAATCTAATAAAAAATATGGATACACTTAGAAAAGCCCTCCTGTATAGAAGATTCCTTTTCATCCATCTATCAGATCAGATCTGATCAGATCACAGAATGCGAGTCGGAAAATAATCAAGAAGAGTTCGATTACCTTAATTATTGTAACTCTTACAAACAATTTGAAAACGATTTTTGACGGCCGGAGTTTTACTACTCCCAGACAGAACACAATTTAGACTTCATTCCGATCTTATTGATTTTCGGATAGTTTATTTCATTACACATCATGAGAGATAAATTCAGCTGACGATATTAATTCAGAAGTAGAAGTAGTAGGCTACGTAGGTTAATGGAAAATAATTTTCATTTTAATTATCAAAACGTTTTAAATGTTTTGTACCTATTTTGTGCAAAGAGTTACATATAAACTTTAAAACAACCCTCACCTAAAGCTTGAAAAGCGTAAGCCTTTGTCTGCGTTATACCTTAGAAGTATCTTTGTTTCATCATTCACAATAATTAAAAAAGTTCGGAAACATCAGAACATTTTAAGGATTGATATTTATTTTAAGTGCAAGTCTCTGCGACAAGAGCGCGGAGGCTTGAAATAAAAATAAATATTAATCGTGAAAATTTTCAGAGTCCGAGAAGAACCTACAAGAAACTCTGCGGTCTTATTTATTTTAATTATGTAAGTACACAAAGTATTGAAGTGTAAAATTAGCAGCAGGCGCAGAGTACGAGTCATTTTCACACATCCTTGTCATCAATGTATATTCTAATAATATTCTTCGGAATAATAATAGACCCTATCCACTACGATGTCAAGATTTTTGCGGCGTGAGGTCATCGGCCTCTTAGCTTAATTGTTAAAGCGTCTGGGCGCGTTATGCAGGTTCGATTCCCAAAGCGCCGAATAAGTGTTTGTTCATTTATCTATAAAAATTCACATTGTCAGAACAAATGTTTAGTACAGGTTAATTTAATGGCAGTTTAACTGTTCGTAAATAAATTAATCAATAATTTGGTTTAGAAAAAAAAAAAGCAAAAGTTGGTGTAACCTAAAAACCTGTAACATCAATTATTAAATTGAGGAGAAACTCACATTTAGCAAGTATGACAACAAAAATCAATATGTCTAAATGACAAGCAATATAACAAGATATGTATGTTTTATACATTACTTTTAATATTCATATCTGGATCAGTTTATGATTGCAATTTAATATTTCTTTAACTTGTAATTCAACTTAGCTGAGGCTTAAATTCAATGGCTAGTGGCATTACTAATGGCAGTGAAACACCATAAACGTCCATATGTTTTATTTTTATTTACAAATATGGTATTGATAAAATCTTAATTTCAATATTTACAAGGGGAGCAAAAGGCGGGAGGGTCTCAATGATAAAAAGGTTTAATGGAATTTATGAGTAATGCATTTTGAGTAACTTAATAAAACATAAAAGTTCATATTTTAAATGTAAATTATATTATTATTAGTCTTAATTTTATCACGCTTCCCCACCGCCCTGGCTCAGTACTCACCCTTGCTCATATCGAATGAGAAATTTATTTATAAATCTTAATATTTACACTTATATTCAACAATAAAACATTTACAACATCACTATGCGTCTTCAGTGTTATATATACAATCATACTCTTACATATCCATGTTTAAAATAAGTATCAATCTAACAGTTAATGGCGTAACAAATTTGAAGATATCAAGTATAGCTCTTAATTCTAACTAGTTTTGTAAATTTCGATTAATTAAAAACACTAATATGTTACAATATTATATACATATTTTTTTAAAACGAGTGATAAATTTTTTAATAAAACAATTTAAACCACGATTGGTTTCCGTTCTCTCATTTTACAGGAGCAACTTTTCTTCTTAAGGTAACTGTTCTTATTCCTATTGTTTCCAACATCGGTTAGTGATTTGGAAGATTCCCATTGCTATAACGTTTCCGATTTTTCGCTTATCAATTGAACATTAACAATTTTATCTTTAGCGATATCACAATTTGCTAATGTTTTAACATTGTTATGAAAAGGTTTTTCCTCTTTAGGCTCTTTCATTTGATTTCTCTCGTTTAATTTCTCCTTTGATATTTTCCTTTCATCTTTTTTATCTTTTGTTTCTATTTTTTCTTTAGACGATCTTTTTCCTCAATGTGTTCTTTTCCTTGCTTTATATGATCATCGCCTTTATCTAAATTCACACGTCTCAGTGGAATGGTTTGTCCGTTAGTAATTTTACAAAAATCGATTGCGTCTGTTTGAGTTTCTTTATCTGCGCACGACGGTTCTATGAAAGGAGAATAATAGAAAAATATAATTAGATCCATAACATAAAAATCAAAGAATACTTTTTAAAATGTTGTACAAAAAATATATTCCCAATAAAGGAGCCAAGGCATACTTTTACTTGGGGCATTCGTGAAGTTTTGCGCTGCTGGTGGTTTGCGGCTATAACGAACTGGCATTATGCTCTGACGGACATTCCTTTCCGGCCGGATTAGAATGATGTACAACTGAAAAAGTAATATAATTATATCAGACGTTAAATAACTAACAGAATTATGTAAGTTATTGTATGTGGAGACCCTGTATGAAGAATTCTGTATGAGTACGGGTTGATATAGTAGCACAAAGCAAAATTAAGATTAAAAATTAAAATTTATATCCTCAAATAAAAAAGCTGCATATAAGTTAAGGAAGCACGTGATAACTGACCTTGGGGGAGAAAAGACAGGCGAGCGTTACACTGGCACTGAGGGAAATAGTTACGGCCATACTGGTAACGCGTAAAGGTACGTGGCTTGCTGTGCCAAAGTACAGTGGAACAAATGCCAGCCAAATTACACACGTTGTATACATTGTGAAACCTATAAACGAAGATGAAAAACATCATAACTTGGTGGTAAAAGAAATAGAATAATATGGCTTAGTCTAAACCACGTGTCGAAAAGTAATGTTGAGTACTTAAAAAACATTGGTAATAATTAAAAACTTTCAAACAGTTGATATTTTGATGTTTTTTTTAAAACAGTTAACAATTAAGTTGGAGGACCGATATATGTGGTTACCATGTTTTCTGGCAAAATTGCGAAGCATTTTACATTTTTTAAAACACCCAAGAAATTGTTTTAAATGAAATATGAAGTGATGCCTACCGATATGTTTGCTTTCGTTGAATGCTTCTGGAATCTTCCGTGTAAGGACGGCGTACACCGTGCAAATAATGATGAGCACGATGGGATAGAAAAACGCAATCATGTAAGACGCGTCGACGTAAGAATCGCATACAAGCATATTGTCTTCGCGCGTCGGGTAGTGAAACATGGCTCGTGCCGGCGCAACTATCATCCATACGACCACGATTAGGACCTGAAAAGTTTTTAGAGTTAAGAATTTTTGTAAATGTGAATTTTTGTAGACGAATGATCGAACGCTTTTGGTTCTGTTAAATTCAAACCAGCTACTCCCAGGTGACGCACCCAGAAGACGCTGGTTGGAAACCCGCAGCGCCGAAAGTTTATGACCATTTGTCTACAAAAACTAGCATTTTAAATATCATTTTGAGTGTACAGACTAGCGATAAAAGTAAGATTAATCACACATTAACAAATTAAGTAGACAATGGTTTCGGATAAACCTGAGAGATTATTTTGGAAGCATTCGCTTTGTTGTCTAATAATGTATTTTATTTATTTTTATATATCAGTTCATTTCTCACCATAATATCAGTTATAACAAAAATAGCTAGATGTAGTTTTGTATAAGTAATCGCTATCCAGGGGATGACTTTAAAAATAATATAGTTTTATTAATTTGTATACGATGCACCCGTTAACAGTAATAATACATCGTTTCCTTTGTAATAAACTTGCTTTGATACAGGCAAATTTAAATGACAATAGACAATGGTGATTTCTAGTACCCACTGAAGGATATAAAAGTATCGTAAAATGAAATATTACATTCCTACCCGACTTACGTAACTAGGCCGAATTTAGTTAGTAAATAAATTTACTGATAGGTCTCACTGTTAAGTTAAAAAATAATTTACCATATAGTAAAAAATATTTGACTCATCTGTTTTTCGTTTCGTGTATTAGTGATAATTGTTATGCACTATACAGTACTGTAATTGAATAATTAAAGAGGACTTTAGTGATTTGTAATGTTCTAATTTTTTAATATTTTATTTTAATATTAAAAAAAAAAAAAAAAAAAAAAAAAATAGCCCTCACTTTATGATAACATTATCCTTTGCTGTAGGGACGTTTTACAAACATAAATTTCACGTGGACAAACAACCAGATGCGAAAAAATTAATGTGGGTCGCACAAATAGTTGTCCCGTGTGGGAATCGAACCCACGACACCCGACGCCGAAGCCAATACCTTGGCAACTGCGCCACGGAGTCCTCAATTTATGAATGACGTCATTAATCGTGAGTTAAATTAGGCAAAATAAAAGAAAAGTCGTTAAAGGGAACAAGGTTAAGCGAAGACCGTAAAAGTGAATGCAACATTATCATTACAGTAAAGGAGCTTTCGTGGCGTATGAAATTACCTTTTCACTTAAAGTTAATGCGAAATCGCTTAGCAGATATACACTTATTTACAGGTCATTAATCAAGGCCTATCCGTCTTGAATAGGGTTCGTCCGTTGATTAAAAGGATTCATAATTGAAAAGGAAAATATCAAGTTATTAAAAACACTTTCATATTTCCCCAGCTAGAAACGGGTCAAGGTGTAACCGCCCTGTTTTTATGGTCGTTGTCATAGATGAAGGTTACACTTGTCTTCTCAAAAGGTATGTATAACTTCGTGGTGCAAAATCGCTAAAAAATATACGTTAAATAAAAGCAAACGAAAAAGATTTAATTCAGTTCACGTTAAATTCAGTTTTCATGTTGAAGCGCTAGTAAGAAATGGCAGTTTTTATTCACTTTCTTGCCTCCTTTATTTTAATGCAGTTACATTAAAGTAAAGGAGAAAAAGTAAACAGAAACAGAAACATTTCTCAGTTTAAAAACACTCAACGTAAGCAAACGGATTACTTGAATGGAGATGAGGGCCGCGCAGATGGCGAGTTGCGAGCTCGGCGAGATTAGAATCGGCCGCTTGGCGGAGTGTTTGCTGGCGTTGAAAATACGCGAGATCCTGTTGGTCTTGGTTAGAAGCGCTGCATAGACGACTGTGAAGCAGAATCCGGTCCCGAATCTGTTGGACAGAAAGCATAATTATATTTATCTACATAAAAAACAATTTTTACAAACATGGACCATCGGCTTTAACTTTTGTTGAAAGAGCTTATGAAGATCATTTTAATACTCATTGAAAGTTCAAGCTCCTTTACATAATATTTAGGTATAACAGTGCACGTAGATTCATTTCAGATAAATAAATGATTGTGTGATAAAATTTAACAAAAAAAATTAAATAATAATATTACTTAAAATGTACCTAAAATTGTAGGGCATGAGAGATATAGATATAATAGAGGGCCATGATAGCTCAGTGTCCGGGTCGCCCTTATTTAAATATACTCGAGTAATCTAATTCCGATCCCCGCCCCGGTGCCGGCACCAAGTAATTTATTAATTTTAAGTTCTGAATTATCACGTGCTCAGCGGTCTAGGAGAACATCGTGAGGGAACCTGCATATTTTCGAAATAATAACGAAAACCTTAATATTTCGACGATACTGACAGAAGGCAATAGACCGCTCTGTACAGAGGAGGGCTCTGCCCATCCAGTAGGACATGTATAGACTGATAGTTTACCTAAAATTTAATATTGCATTTATGAATGTACTGACTGCGCGGTCATTCTTACCTTTGTATAGAACACAGAACGTCCGTTGGGCGGAACACAAGGGCGAAAGTGACGAGGTAGCACATAAGAATGCCGGCGAGAAGAACGTATGACAATTCCCTTCCACTGGCGCGCACCACTGGAGTGGAGCTGTGGCGAACCCACACTCCGCATACAAACCTAAACGACATATAATATAATTTAATATAGACACGTATACGAGGATCTTATATGAATATTGTTTTATTATTATCTCAAAATTTGCCCGAAAGATGGCAACAATCTTGGACCTTTTTGTCCGCCTAAAACAGTAATTTAGGCCAGAATTTTTTTTTTTTTTTTATATTTAGGCAATAAGTAGGTAGTAAACAATGGTTAGAAAAGCTATAGGCACAATAGCGGTACTAGAACAAATTCCTGTTTTATTAATCTCGAGATGGATTCCCTAAGTGGTGATTCCGCCCTGAATGCACATTCCTCTTAAGATAGCAACATATTCGCCACCATCCAGGAAAGGAATTAACGCATTGCAGGTTGAAGTACCAACAAAGACACATACAATTTTTTTCAGTGAAGTGTAAAACAGTTTGTCAGAGATATTTTAAAGACGTTAGGTGAAAGAAATAATTTTCGTAACAAAGTTGGAATTAAGGAACAGATTTCCTGTACACCTAGATAATTTTCGAACATTTCTAAACAACAAATTAAGGAATATATTTTATAGATTCCGTCCTATGATATTCAATATTTGAAAATAACTACACCGGTAAATGAATTTTCACTAAAATATAACATTTTCGCGTTTTATTAAACCCGCAACGTTCTAACTTCAATAAAAAATTTTAGCCGGGAATTTAATAAATTTGGATTATCTAGCTTATTACCTGCTAAAGAATGCTGTACAAGGATGCTAATTATATATCTTCGTATCTACTTTAGCATTTCGTAACGTTCGTAATTGAAAATACAATAAGTTTAGTATTTTATTTGAACGCGTGTGGAGGTTAAAATTGAAATTCTTGTGTAAACCTCACTTTTAGAAATTAAATGAGAATAATATAAATATTTTAGGTATTATAGTGGACACGTATCATGAATACGATCATGGTCGCGATATATGTCGTGTTCTTCATAGGTTTTCGAAATTTTCTTGCATTAGAGAAGAACTTCATGTCTTACTGTTACGTCAAAACATTGAGATCTTTTTAAACAGAAAATTTAAAAGACGCTTTTTTAAATGTGTACCGTTTTTAACTTGTGAGATTATCCTAGCTTAAAAGCGCCACTTCAAGAATCTTGGGCTTACTGTGTTTCAAAGCAACGGTTGAGAGTTTTATATTTTCTGCTTTTCTTAAATATTTTCTCTTTAGATATAATTTCATTTCATTTTAAAAAATATATGTAAAATTTTGCAATAAATTGTATAATTTCTTGTTCTGCCATGCAACTCTACTTTGAAACAATCAAAACGAACTTCGCATTAAAACCATAACTGAATCAAGTAACAATCACACTATTGGTAATGTGGAATAGCTTTATAGATATTAGTTATTATAAAGCAGTTCAACTGTCAAATTTTCTTTGTGGTTGTTTAACTGTAAGTAAATAATTGTATATTACTTCATTCCCTACAGTGCGTACATAATAATTTTAAGTCTTGATTCAGGGAGACAAGTATCTATAATCCAGTTTCTTAAGTACAATAATCTGTGCCTAATACGCATTACATTCTCTGATAGAACTTAACCAAAATCGTACATCTGTATATTATATATTACAGTACCTCTGAACTTGTAAATCGATCTTTGTATTATGTAGTGAAAGTGAACAAACGTATACTGTTATAATCAGTGAACAAAACAGTAAAAAAAGCAAACGTTTCATTTGACATCACTGGTTATAATATAATAAAACAAAAAATAACTTTGCTCTGCAAATGAGCAAATCAATAATTAACGAACATCTTTATACTTACGCTGTAATAAGTATGCCGACAGATGAAAATGACATGGCTCCGATAGCCCACGCGGAGTCCGGCCTCAGATACACCTCTGGTATGGGCTGGCAGTGAGTACGCGTGGGATCTGGTAGGGTACCGCGAGGGCACACCATGCATGTGGTCTCCACGTAAGGTGACCGGATCTAACCAGACGTAAAGGTTAATCTAGTTAAACTACTGCAAATTCGTCTTTTCTTATTTATTTATTTATACATAGTTGCAATCACCATAGATTTCCATAGATTACCAAGGACGAACTTTATGCCTTTTGTTATTCTCTTTCAGAAACACAGGGGGTGAAGATAAATTGTGGAAGGTAATATCATTACAAATTTTAAGTTTTTTATAGTGGTAATCTCTGCACATATGATATGACCCACAATCACCCGTTTAGCTTAGTGGCTAAAGCGTCAGGCCGCGAATGCCGAAGACGTGGGTTCGATTCCTACAGCGGTGACAATCTTTTCGTACTTTTTCTTCAAGTTTTAATATAATTACATTCAAATATTAATGTATATTGACAGTATAAAAAAAGTACCCACATAATATAAACGAATAATAAATGCTTTATGATATCTTTTTTACATCAAGACATGATATAGGGTAGTAGCATAGTGATAACATCTAATATTCTAGCTTATGGATCCATTGTGCACATTTCGTGGACCAAGCGTTTGAGTAAGGCCTTGCTAGGGCCATACATGTGTCATCAGGTAAGGAGTTGCAAATTAGTGTAGCCTGTACAGCCTATACAGTAAAATATTTAACAAGGAAACTAGTATTACGAGGAGCGATAGCAGTCATAAGGTTACATGAAGAACGGAGATCTCTTTAATTGTTTAGCGAGAGGTGTTTATCTTTTAGATTAGATGGAGATCTTAGTTCATTAAAAATCGGGAAAACCAAAAGAAAAACTCTAGAGGTACAACTCTAACTGTAAGCAACTTTAGACGCGAGCGATAGGGAGTAATATGATCGCAATTACAAACAAAAATATATCTATTGATCTTGCTTATTAAAAAGAAGGTTAAAACATGTAGAAAAAGTACGAAAAGATTGTTGCCGCTTCGTACTTTTTCTACATGTTTTAATGTTCAATCTTAAGTGCAGAGATTAGCACTATAAAAAACTTTAAAATTTATAAAAAGAAGGTTTTTGTTTAAGTCTAGCAAACAAACATCCGTGTAGTAATTTATCAGAATAATAAGTGACTGCAGGAATGAGAGATTAATCTTGAAGGAGAGAAAATTACGGCAGAAAATTGGAAATTTTCGAAGCTGCGAAATATCTTCCTATCATAAATACAGAGAGAAACGGAAACAACACTATCAACCTTTTCTCTGGCTCCTACTGAGATGGTGCTTAATATATCCCTTTTATAATTATCCTATTATCGGTAAACTAAGTTGCTCACTTAAAACCAGTTAATTATTTAAATTGAATTTAAAACAATTCATATTTATGATATTACAAATTTATACATTTAGAAAAGCCTCTAAGTGTATCCATTTTTTTTTATTAAATTCTAAACATAAATAATGTTATATAAAAAATGATAAATATTTAAAATCACCATTAATTAAATACATGAACATATCTCAAAAAGTGCGTGATTTATGGGCAACTCATTTATTTTACGCGCGATCATTTATGACTAACACGCACACAAGTTCGTTTCAAAAGTATACGACGCATTTATGAATGACTACCGTATTGTCAACAAGTTCTGTTTTATAGGGAATAGAATGGCAATTAAAAAAAATTTTGTTTTTATTTCTATAAACGATTATACTACCGATTCTGAACCTCCTGTGTGAATTTGGGCACCTTTAGAAAAGCCACCCTGTATTTGTCCTATTATCGGTAAGTTTTACTTAAAACCATTCAATTATTTAAATTGAATTTAAAACAAATCATATTTATCATATTACAAATTTATGTTCACACTTCTCATATTCCATTAATGTTTCAAAATTGATTTGTTACGGGTGAATTACTAACCTCATATTGGGTGCAGTTGAAACAGTGCCAGCAGCAGCTCTCGCCCTCCACGTACTGTTTGGCCTGTCCCAATTCGCATTCCGCGCTGCACACCGACTCGGGCGGTCTTCTTTCGCCCCATTTGAATTGAATATCTAACCACACATGTAAAGGCTGTTTTAAATGCTTTGCACTGAAACCTTCCGGTATCGAGGCGACCACGAACCGGAAGACGTAGCGTTGGAAGGGCTCCCTCCAGGTGGACGACATCATAAGAGTCGCGGGCAACCGATGCAAATGGCAAAGTGTCGTTCGTTGTGGCGTTCTAAGGGGCAGGCCTATGTTCAACGGTGGACGTCTTGCGGCTGATGATGGTGATGATGAAGATGATGAAGATGACGATGATGATGCACTGAAATCGCTCCCAAGAGGATAGAATCATTTGGATTTTAGGAAAATCTTACTTATACAAACCACATATACCTACTACTACAGAGAAATGTCAATATATGATTATTATTACTACTCCCTCTGGACCAGGGAAAGTACCAAAATGTATTAACAAACGTAAAAAGACAAACTGTATCGCAAATGCTATTCTCTCGGAACAATGGTGGTCATGGATTATATCCCAAAAAAATCTAGTTAGTTATTACGAGAATATATCGATATCAGAAAATTAAAATTGAAAGCTTTATGAACTTAATATTGAATAATATCTCATTCTCTCCCGAAAAAGGTTTCCCATAGTCTGATTAAGTAGCGTAAACCTACCAAGGTGTTCTGCAAAATTGATACATTATATCAATGATGCCAATCACTGCAACAAATAAACTAAAGGTACTGTAATATGAATTTTTTCATCCCATCATCATCAGCCTAGTTCGTCTTTTGAACAAAGGAGTAGCCCGACAGAACAATACCCAACGGAACGTCTCAATGAAGTACATTTTACCATTTGACGACTATTACAATATCGTTGGATTGTTTACAAATATAATCAAATTACAGTATTCAAATCCTACTTAAAACGAGAACCTAAGACCCTAGAGAGATAATACCTTCGATATTCAGCTGCAGAACTCCGTCGAGATATTGTCCGACTTTCAGCCAGCGGTAGACGCCGCGCGTGACTTGTTTGAAGTGCAAGATATTGTACCTCGCCGGACCGTCGCCATTTGCATCGAAATGAAACTCATCCCCGCTTATACCTGGGCAGTTGATTATTCTATTAATTTAATTTCAAACTATTAAATGAAGCGGAGTATTCAACGTAACTGAGGAGTTTAACGTAGATATTTTAGTCTCCCAATACATCGGAACGATGAAATTAAAAAGTGACCTATTCTGTTATCATCTTGTCATTATCGCAATGGTCAACTCAATGTTTACAAATTATTACAAAAATATCGTATTGATATAGGATTCTTCAAATATTTGGGGCATTTGTTTTCAATGAAACATCAGCATTGTTTGCCACAACAGATAAAAAGATGTATAAAACGGTAATAAACATGGTATAACATTTCTTTCTTTTCTTTTTCTTTTTTTTAAAAAGAACAATTACAATGATTTTAATTTCAAACAGTGTAATTCAAATTCAAAACAAATGAACTAATTCCTAACTCTATATTTGCCTGTGAGTAGGATTAATTCAATTAATCACGTAAAGTTGACTTAAAATTCTATTTAACAAAGTTTTGGGTTCAACTTTACATTTAAGCCTGATATCGTTCGTTTGGTTTGTTTTTACCGTACATCCAATTGAACTTTATTCATTCCATTTAAAATTGGTCATCTTCAAGATATTCATTATTAACGGGAATTTAGTTAATTCGTAAGGAATCTATATGATAAAAAATGAAGTGGAATTGAAATAAATTAAAAGTCTATATATCTCCAACGGCTGCGCCGAGCCCTTTGTGTACCACGCTAGCTTTGGCAGACTTTACATATCTTCGAAATATTTTATTTAATAAATATTTTGAAAATATGCATTCACGTCACGATGATTTTACCTTTACCGTGATAAATCGCATTTAAAATTGCAATTGACAATACCATTGGGGCCAGCACCGGGACTTGAGCCCAAGTTGCTTGAGTATTTTTAATTAAAAGCGAGCACCTGGACGCTGAGCCATAACGTCGCATATAAAGTATTCAAGTTATGTTTTCAAATTTGTACTAATGCCCGTTTGGTAGTTTCGATTTGAAGACGGAACAAAAGACGTTCATGGAAACTTTGGCATAATACCTATATAATGTTCGCGATTATAAATATCTAGTAATAATATTAGTGCGAAATTTTCAACAGTACGGTGATCAATCATGGAATGTAATTAATTATATGTGAAAATACTTATAACTGAAAGGTATCTTACTTTGAGCAACGTTTTTCAATCCACTTTTCTATCTTTCATTCAAAAAAATTGTCGACAGATGGAATTATCAAAGATTGTTTGTGAGAAAATTTTAAACGATAGTTTTTATTCTACTTGTAATTTTTCATCAATGACGGCAAACATAAGCTTTAAAATGGTTTTCGAATCATTAAATTTGATGAAGAAATTTCATATGCATTAGCAATATGTATTAATAATCAAATATGCTATGTGAATGTCCAATATATATGATGTCATTGTACTTTAGATAAATAAATAAATGTGAAAAATATCGAGTACCGAACAACCACCTTTTGAGAATTGATATAGAGGAATTATTGAATAGTAGATAAGTATGTATGTTAAAGCATAGTACCGAAATTACATCAAATTCAATGAAATATACAAATTTGGTTATTTATAAGTTTGATGTCATATTAGGAAGATTTTGTAGTTAACCCACCTGTAAAATTAACTTTTCTCAGATAGCCCAACAACTCCGAACCACTTGCTGGTCTCATGGCATCGCAAAGCCCTGATTTGCCACCGCAAACGGCAGCGTGCATGTCACTTAAACATAAATTGATAATGTTCTATTACTTTTAAAAACATACTGAATGCCATATTCGAATGTATCGCAGTAATCATTGGCATATGAAATATACAGCGTGTCGTTACAACCGCGACAATAAATGAACACACGTCTAACGCTAATTGCCAATAAGCATAAAAAAATAAAAAAACGTTAAAAAAATCAATAGTTAAAAAAATATTTCTTAAACAAACTAATTAAATAAAAAGAAACAAAATTTTTTCAACAAAATTTTTCGGTGGTAGGGCTACGCAGCAGCCTCGGCTGTTGCACGAATGGGCATGCTCGTCCGGGAAAGTACCACGACCTTACAGAAAACTGGCGTAAAGTGGAAGTATAATACTTTCGCGTTTCGTCTGGTGAGTGAGGTGGCCGGAGCCCAATTTTCAAAAGGTTGTCAACGCATCTGGAACCCTGGGGTGTAGGAGATGTCCATGGGCGGTGGTATTCACTTAACATCAGGTGAACCGTCTGCTCGCTTGAAAATTTTTCATATTAAAAAAAAACTTGTAGCATCCTATACAACTAAAACTGACTGACTCATACATTCAGACACTTTTTCATTCGTTGCCGCAGCGTCGCATTACAAATCTCTCCTTCTAGCAGTATGTTTTATCCCTTTCAAATTCATTCAACCCATTAATATGCTTTGTGACCTTTACATATGAGCTTTATGTTACAGTTTTATAGGTAAGGGTGTTCTAAAATTGTTTTGTTTTTGGAAAATTTAATAACTCGGTAAATGTAGATGTTTAAAGAATATAAATGGTTAATACAATTTTAATAACTTGTCCTCTAAATGTGTTTTGATTTATGGTCGCGTTAATAGCGACACGCTCTATATCAATATACATATAATAAATACATATATACATTCAAATACATACCGTAATTATAATAATTAATATCAATATCAATAAATAATCCGTAATTGCTAGAGTCGAAGTCATCGAACTCGATGAGTAGGACTATATATATACAAATAAATATTCAATACACATAAAATCCAAAATATGAAAAATACACAACTGCTTTCAAATCAACATTATTCATCCCAACGTTCTGCGGTATGGCCACGCAACAGAGTTCGCTGTTGCAAAAATGGGCAGGCTCTTCCGGGGAGGTATCACGACCCCAGAGAAGACCGGCGCGAAGTGGAAGTGTTATAGTTTTCCGTTTCCGCAACCCACTTTATTGAAAGGTGGCAACGCATCTGAAACCCCAAGGGCGTTGCAAAAGTCTATCGTTGGCGGATATGATTAAATATCAAGATAGTGTTTTTTAGTGTAAAATCTTGTTTGACCTCCTTGGCTACATATTAACACTAAAACCCATGACTTTGGATATCGGCTAGTTCCTAATAATGAGAGTATTAAGTTTACTTTAGTCTATTAATATATAAAATCATATTGTGATAATATGCTATGATAATAATTGTCTAATCACACTAAAACTGTAGAAAGTTCAGAGTAGAAGCAACTTCTAGGTCTTCTTCTGAGGTATCTTGCTAATAGATCCTTATTATGTTTGGTGGTGATTTAATTACTTGCCACTTGTCTATCTATTTGCAAAGTTCGCATAAAGATTTGTTTTAATGGTATTGTGACATCTGATATTCTTTATCGTTAAGTTTTGGTTGGAAGTATCAATTACTAGATTATCTTACGAAAAACATAAAAATTAAGAGGGATTTTCCAACGTAAATTTAAGAGACCAGAGCCTTTATGCTGGAAAATTCAATGTTTTCGTACATATTTCATCCTCTATTCTTTATTTAATATTTACAAGATTAAATCTATCTAAAATTACATACAATCTAATAAACATAATCCACACGGCATGGTGCCAAAAACGCTAGCTGCATTTCCTCGCTGAATAGTTATGCTTAACCTTTGAGTGAGAAAAGAACCAGCTCTCTTGTCACCAGCCGCGGCGTTAAGCCTAGGACATAAACTTTAAAAAAAAATTGATGTGTGTGGACCCCACGGACCTAAAGCTTCAACAGCAAATGACTCGTAAACTAAACATAAAGACTCGTATTTGCGCTATTTACTTACTTCAGTTGCCTCTGACCCCGGCCCTGACCGAAGTACCCCTTAGATGAGGCAGCCAAAGTGTCTAATATTGTCGTACATATTTGCTTAATTTAAAAAAAATGGGAAAAATAGACAATTGGTCAAATATTTATTGTAAAGTTTATTTGAAAGTGACGGAATACTGTAAAGATGCATAATTGTTTAAGCCAATTATTGCTAAAATTTATAAAAATGAAAAGACTATTGATGTTGAGCCGTGATAGCTCAGTGTCCGGGCATTCGCCTTTAATTCAATATACTCGGGCAACCTGAGTTCGATCCCCGGTGCCGGCACCAATGAAGTTTTTAACTTTAAGTGCTGACTTATCACGTGCTCCGCGGTGAAGGAAAACATTGTGAGGAAACCTGCATATTTTCGAAATAATAACAAAAAATATATATTTCGAAGATATGTGAAGTCCGCCAACCCGCAGTGGGGCCGCGTGGTGGACTATGCCCTGATACCCTCTCTATATAGGAGGCCTTTGCCCAGCAGTGGGACATGTATAGGCTGTTACTTTACTTACTTTTTTTATTGATGTTGAGATTTTCGCGCTGTGTCGACATCGAGTGCTTAGCTTAGCTGGCTATAGTATAATATTGATAACGAAGAATTTTTTATGTGAGAAGGTGGCAAACGAGCGGGTGATTCACCTGATGGTAATTGACAATCACCGCCCCTGGACATTTCCAACACCCGTAGGTTGCAAATGCGTCGTAACCTTTTATTAAAGTGGGCACCGGTTACCTCACTTCGCAGACAAAACGCAGCAGTTATAACACTTCCAGTTCACACTGGTCATTTGCGAGGTCATGGTACTTACCCGCAGCTGCCCATTGGTACAATAGCGAACTGTTGCATGGCCCTTCCACAGTTTCAACAATTTATCTATGAAACTCACATTTGAGTTTAATGTTGTATGCGTGATATAATTACACTTTTTTGTCTTCAATGTTATTAAATTGACAAAAACGTTAAGGTGACTTAAACAAAAGAAAGAACGAGTTACTTAGTAACTGAAGTGGTAACCTATCGAGAAGGTGAATAAAAGTTATGAAATATAAATGAATTTACCGTATAGCGTAAGCGAAGGCCAAAACGGCATCTGACACAAATTGGAGTTGCCTCTCGAACTCGGTGTTATTGGCAGTGAGACGCTCGGCGCCAGAACAATTGCGGCTGTAGTGTCCATTATAAGGGGTCCGCGGTCCACCGGAGTAGCGACACTGGAAGTGGTCCTCCCAGAACTCTGAGCAAAATTAACGTCATCGCTATTTTTCGTTTTAAACATTCACCTGACTAGAAAGTTTTAACTTATGCCACAGAAGTATTATTTAGCTAAATCAATTAACAATTCTTTTATAATAGTATATGAAGTGTAGCCTTATGTTAGTGTCCAATACTTTCTGTGATTCAATAGGCAAATGAAACAGCTACGTGTGTACTTCTTTCAGGTACCTCAAAAATAATCAAATCAAAGAAGACACAGATTTAAAAAATCTTACCTGTGAACCAGGGGTTTCTCTTGTTGTTCTTTACGTTAAGGTTGAGGAAGTATTCTTTGAAGCCTTTAACGTCGTTGGCTTGGGGCTGCACACTGATGGTGCCTTCGACGGCTCGTTCGTTCCCATCAGAAACTAAGGCCCGGGCGCTCCACCCGTCCGAGCCAATCCAGCTGAACGCTCCTGTCGCGTTCACGCGTTCGACAGCCCTCATCACGCCAGCGACTTCTTGATCCGATCCAAAGATTATTGCCCCTGTTTGGTTAAATATCACCGATATTATCATCATAATTAGTATTAGATACCCTACCTACTCCCTCGTAATGCCTTCTGCATCCCATATTCATGTGAATACTTTAATACGTCACTACCGTGTCATGGGATGATTTGACGATGTATCTTAAACATGACGGTTATCACTCACCATCCAGTAAGTTGCAAGCTTAAAAATGTGGAGAAAATAATATATAAGAAAAGTTAATGGATTGCAGGATATGGTAAATTAGGAAGTAAATGTTAAAGTGGGATTTCTGACACTTAATAAACTGGTTATATCTGCACCTGCGAAGTTCAGGTTTCATATGAAGATAATATCATCCTAAATATAAAAAAATCATAAAAAAATAAATAAATTAGCAAATAAATGAATACGTTAAATCTGATAAATTCGAAATAATCTTGGTAAATTGGAGTAAATGGAATAAACTACTAAGAAGTGGTAATAAAATAACCGGACGGAGAAAGAGAAACTTGCATTCTGTACCAGCAAAATTGGTATAAGACTGTACTGTTTATAAGTTTACATTAAAGAAGCGTCTTGGTTACATTTTGCCAAAAGATAAAGTTCACATTCAACGAATGGTGAAAGGTCACCGGGGTGTATTTGTACGATAATTTGCTCCGGGGCAACGCGCCATCCAATGTGCTTATCGAGGCCCGAGCTAACAGCCCCAACAGCCGGTGGCCGCGCAGCCAGATGCGTCGCAAGTGGCAATTTTTCGCTAAAGTGGCCGCACAAATTGAATCCGCCGCCTCGTCTATAACCAATGATTGCCATTTAGTGACGCGGCGTTGGGCACATTCAGATGAGTTATTCGTATCGGACCTTTGTCAAGTGTAGCGTGCCGATCCACTGTTCACGACAACGGACCCAAGCTCCGGTATTATCGATTGCGTTTACTTTTAATTTCGTCCGTAATGAAATGTTGTCTGCGCGAGGAATTTGAAGACTTTTTTTTTATTTTCGTCCGGCAAATGTAACTTTTGTCTGTACGCAAAAGTAATTTATTACGAGGGCCAATTTCTTGGAGATTGCTTATTAGGAAGGAATTACTGCGATAGAAGCACAATGTAATTTCGTTTTTATAAAGTAATTCCATAACATTTATTTGAAGGTACGAGTAAATAACCGTTATTTTATGTACTTGGCTTCAAAATTCGCTTCTTTACTGATGTGACATCATAAGCCATTAACTAATTAACCTTCAATGCAGTGTCATATTAACAGTGAATATTATCGAAAGTATTTAATTATTCATTTATTAGCCAGTATTAGAAATGCAAAGAAAAATGCATATAATGTTTACCTATAGTAATAACATCACATTTTATCGATCGAATTACCGTATATTAATTAGTATTTAACCCTACCTATGTTTCATAATTTCTACAGCGAGCCACTAATTACATTTGTTACCAAGAAGCAATTTGATGAACCTAATGGAAATTCACGGAAATGTTTTCAGTGCTCAGCATTTTGATTTTTATGAGTGCAGTGACTGAGAAGGAATATAGTAACAGTAATAACTAGTTACAGGCTTGCCCTCTTTACTATCAACTGTCTTTCATCATAGAATTTGTTTAACTATTACTTCACTGAGAAGCGTGAGCCGTGATAGCCCAGTGTCCGGGCGCTCGCCTTTAATTCAATATACTCGAGCAACCTGAGTTCGATCCCCGGTGCCGGCACCAATGAAGTTTTTAACTTTAAGTGCTGACTTATCACGTGCTCCGCGGTGAAGGAAAACATCGTGAGGAAACCTGCATATTTTCGAAATAATAACAAAAAAAAAATATATTTCGAAAATATGTGAAGTCCGCCAATCCGCAGTGGGGCCGCGTGGTGGACTATGTCCTGATACCCTCTGTATAGATGAGACCTTTGCCCAGCAGTGGGACATGTATAGGCTGTTACTTTACTTTTACTTTTTTTCACTGAGAAAAAAAAAATATATCGTTTTGATTGGTAAAACTAATTCAATTATCTTTAAACGTTTATTACTAAAATTTTCCTAGTATGCAATGTCTCTGTGTCGACTACGTTAGAAATCAGACTGATTCAGATGTTAGAAAAAATCCATAATATAACTGTTACTTTTGTACATTTAAACCAAATTACATTACGAATTCTATTTCGTTTCATTTTGATCTGCAGTTCCCAATACTAAAATCTGTAAAATAATTTTATTTATCTATGTATATTTCACGTAGTTACTTTTGTGTGCATAGTTATCTGGCTCATCTGTGAACGCACTCACCTCTAGCTCTCGGCTTGGTTAGCAATTTCTGAACGATGTTGTCGTACGCCATTTCAGTGGCTACGCCTGAGTCTTTCGCAAGCTTCTCCTTAACAGCTATGCAGATCCCGTGACGGGCGAGCAGCGCTTCTAGTTCCTCGAATGCCTGATGTGAAACGAAATTTACAATACAATTAATGTGATCTTAGTTGTGGTTTTCACTGTCTTGTTAGTTGTTTTTTTTTAATTGCATCTGGCCAGCACTTGACTGCCATCCCACCTGATGGTAAGTGGCGATGCAGCCTTTGATGGTAAGGGCGCTGGCTCAGTAAAAACCTATTCACTCTTGCCTTGAAGAGGCCTACGTTGTAATCGGACGGAAAGACGGACGCCGGCAGGTTGTTCTAATCGTTAGCTGTACGGATGATAAATGATGAAGCAAATCGCTTGGTTCGTGTTCTGGGAACGTCGACAGCATAAGGGTGGAGTCTCGCCGAACGCCTAGTTGTCCGATGATGGAATGATGGATAGTTGTATGTTGTCAGTAATTGAAGTTAGTTAAGTGTTATTAATTGTCTGTAATTGAAGCAAAAGGTAGGATTACTTATAAAGTCTATTTAAAGTGATGTCGTAAGGAAATTCCCAGGTCTTTTCTGAATCTGCTTGGAAGATATAATTTAATATTCCAAGCGGCATCGTAAAAAACTTATAAAATTACTTACGATATTATATATGGCATTTCATTGTATTACTTATTAATAAAATGAGAATCGTCAGGTACTTTAAACTTACACACGATGAATTCGCTTACCTACAATATATAGATATAAACGGGATAATGTAAATAGAAACGAATTGATTCATTTCAAATGATAATAGAGCAGCTATATTCGCTTCTACGTTCTACGTTAATTTGTTACGCAAATAAACACTACGTACTGGTAAATTAGATTGCTGTGAACAAACACGTTTGAAGAGAGACTATGCAGTTGCAAGGGGATCATTTGCCAACAAGACATTAATTTGTGCAACAAGCTAACATCTCATTTCATGAGGGATGCCTCCTGTCTCTTTACGTACACGTAACACCTTAACACACTAAAAGACGTCACTGAAAAATTATTAAGGCATGCCACTAGACTTCTGTGGAAGGGCCACGCAACATTTTTCGCTGTTGCACGAATGGGCAGGTCCGTCATGGTACTTACCTTCGTCACCGAAGACCAGCGGGAAGTGGAAGTGTTATACTTCTGCGTTTCGTCTGGTGAGCGAGGTGGCCGGGTCCACTTTATTGGAGGGTGGCAATGCATCTGCAACCCTACGGGTGTTGCAAATGTCCATGGGCATTGGTTATCCTTTAACATCAGGTGAACCGCCAGCTCACTTGCCACCTTCTCACATAAAAAAGAATAAAAAAAAGATTACTACTGCTGTTCTTATTGTTTATTATTATCATAATATATTTTTTATATTACCAAAGTTGTGGTTGCTCTTTTTTATTTATTTTTCTGTTGAATAATGATTTTTCTATTATAGGAAACTTAAATGGTGTTTGTACAATTATAACACTTGTAAGTGTGGTTTATTATCCGCGATATCTACAACTACAAAACAATAAATGCCTTAACTGTAAAACTTATTAAAACATTAAAACTTTCATGTTTTGCGTAATTGTTGGAGAAGCAATTATGACGCTGGCCCGGGTCTGGAAATTGTTAATCAAGTTTCTTTACTCGTCCAATTGTTCCGTTTGTGATGGAATTATTAAACAAAGAATTTAGTAATTCAAGTTTTTGTCATCAATGTTTTGTGTAAGTGGATAAATACAAATCCAGAAGTGCCGATCTCGACCGATTACGTGGATTCTCGCAGCAGGCGGTATCGGTTCCCGAAAAACAAAGGATCAGTCGAAATATGCGTTCTGTGTTCTTACGACACTTTCGCCTTTGGCCGCACAGATAAAGACATTATTTAAAATTGGCAGAAAAATAGACGAAAATTTCTCGACGCTGTGAGGATTTCAACCTGCGTCTTCCGGGCTATGTTGCGGAATTTCCCCAAGTGAGCAGTCAGTTCACCTGAACGAATGATTACCGCCACCCATGAACATTTACAACATCTGAGGGCCCAAGAGGTAGCAGATGCAATGTTAACCTTTGTTTTATGTGAGAAACTGGCAAGCGAGCTGGCGGATCACCTGATTTCAAGTGTTAACCGACAACCATAGACCCATGGATATTTGCACAATCCGTAGTGTACCGCCTCACTCACCAGACAAAACGTATATCACTTTCTCTTCACGCTGGTCTTCTGTGAGCTCGTGATACCCGGATGGACCTGCCCACACGTGCAAGAGCAAACTGTTGAGAGGCCCTACCACAGTTAAAATCAGTCAAAAAAGGGACCTCGGTTATCTCACTCACTCACGAAATAAAAATTAGTATTCCCATCTCACGCTATCACATCCCCGCCATTCTTGTTACCTTTATGCCGTAGCTGGACTCCTCGTAAATAATGGAAAGGTAACTCCATCCGAGCCTCTTCACGATCTCGACCATCGCTTTCACTTGGTGAAGGTCGCTCGGAATCGTTCGAGTGAAGTATTCGAAGCGCGCTTTATTCGAGAGCTCCGGTGACGTGGAAAAGAAGGAAACCTGGCGCAGGAATATGATTTTAAAATAAAAAAAGAATTACAACTATGTGTTAGTTAGACTTTAGATCAACCTTATTTATGAAGCGGTGTTTCAATAGCCGAAAAAAAGCCGTGGGAAGTTCTAAGCCACGTGCTGAGACGTAGTTTTTAGGGTGCCGTACCTAATTGTAAACTAATATTTTTGAAAAAGAGCAACTGTTGAGTTTCTTGCTGGTCTCTTCTCAACAGAATCTGCTTTCCAAACCGGTGGTACCTTACGAACCTATATGTATATATATATATAATTTCTTATGTAAAATTTGAAGATTCATAAGAACGCGCAAGCGTCTATTTGAATAAAGATATTTGACTGATAAAAAGGGTAAAACGGTACCCGTCTGTTTGTCTGTCCGCCTGTCACCAGGCTGTATCTCATGAACCGTGATAGTAAGACATTTGAAATTTTCACAGATGATGTATTTCTGTTGCCGCTATGTATATATACTTACCATGTTTTTGGTGAATAAACGGCGCTTGGAAAATCCATTGCCATTGTTCAAAAGAAATTATTAACTGTTGAATAATGAAAAGTTTAAGTAAAAATTAAGTGTTTCGTTAAATAGAATGTACCTATTTTATCTTCCTCCATAACAATTAATAGTTAGTTGCGATACAATAGCAGCCGTAAGATACGTACGGACAATTTCTATATTTTATCTACAGATAAATTTGGTTACTGGCGATAGAACTTTGACATAAGCATTATGGAGCCAATGTCAAATGTCTATGGGTGGCAAATCTATCTGTAGATTGAATATTGAAACCGGCCGATAGGCACAACTCTGGTATTTACATTGGCTCTCACCTGCGGTATCTTGAAGAGTCTCAGCAGGTTAGCTACTTGCACGGAGGTGACGCTGGAGGCAGCACCGACTACTCCCGAGATGACTTTACGCACCGCTGTCGCATTGCAAGCGTACTCCGCGTCATCGATGTTGCTTATAGAACCTAAAAGAATTTTAACGGTTTGGAGTCTTCTGCTTCAAAACCAAAAATAATAAGCGCCTGTGCTTTAATAAGGGTCTTTGTGTGTATATTCAAAACGTTTGCATACTGGTAACACAATCATGATTTCACTTGAAAATAACGAAGACCAAATATTCTAAGTCCCCTGTTTGAGTTACTGAATGTTATTTCGTATTGAATGCAATGTCTTCACCACAGGGATATTTAGTATCGCTTATTATATCTATTGTTTAAGAAAATTATAGCAACATTAAATTTCGGTGATTAATCAAGAAACCAAGCACAGTACGAACACAAAGTGTACTGAAATTAAAGTAAACTAAAAAAAAATGTGGAAGAGAAAACTAACAGCGATTCCATAACGTCAATTAACGTGAGATCTTGCTCCTTTTAATCTATAAGTATTTACCTTTAATAAAATCTACAGCCATCTCCAGTCCGTATGTGTCCCTATCACAGTCGTCCAACACATGGGCGCCAATCGTAACACCCGGAATGAGCTTTAGTTTATTATTGACAATATCAAGTGTGTACAACATGGTCTCCAAGGCTTGCACGCCACCTTGAGGCATTACTGGTCCACAAGTCAAGTTGTCCGACCGCTCGTGGACCATCATTAGGCCTCCCAAAACCAAATCACCCTCGATGACTGCTTCTCTCTTTATAGGCCAATGTTGGTGGTGTTTCTTGTCCTTCAGCTCGGCTATTTGGTGACTCGACATGTTCGACATCCAGTCGTTTTTCCTGTCGCTGTCATATGCAACCATGTCGTAGTTCAATATGCTTCTTTCAAGGAAGGACCTTTCCTCGTAGATGTTTAGAGGTTCGTAATGGGGCAAATAGTCGAAGGATTTGTCTGAGTCCATCACGGGGTCGACTATGGTTGGCGATTCGGTTTGCTTGTGCCGATGCCTGTGGTGATGGTGAACACTTCGGCTTAGCTGATGGTCCTCGGCTTGGGCGGTGCCAGAGTGCCTCACCTCGCAGGAGCATATCGCAGAGAAGAGAGTCACGGTCGCCAACCAACACTGGTCGGGACGCATGTTAATTTTGTCTGCCTCATGCCATTTTGTGCAAATGTTTCGTCCATGTTGTGGGATGGCGGGACATCATGGTAACTGAAACAATGCATTTCGGAGAATGAGATTGATGTTTTTTGCCGTGGCAGGGCTAAGTCTACGTATCTTCGGCTGTTGCACGAATGGGCTGGTCCGTCCAGGTAAGTACCAAGACCTCACAGAAAACCGACGTGAGGTGGAACTTTCATACTTCTGCGTATCGTCTGGTGAGTGATGTAGCCGGGGCCCACTCTAATATAAGGTTTAACTTTAATATAATCCGAAAAAAAAATGTAAAAATCCTCCTCCAATCCGCCAATGGGACGTCACTCAATTAATTAATAATAAAATTATGATAAGACGATACAAATATAAAGATTAGAAATTTAAATGATGTAATTTAAATCCTAAATATCAGTATTTACATGAATAAAGTCTTGTTCATGCTGATTATATAGTGTTACTGATAATCGGTATTATTTTGGCCAAATTATGAATGTATTTATGAAGGTTTATGGAAAGCAGATGTGCGGGAAGTCGATGGATGCAGGTGGCTCAGGATCGTACTTCGTGGCAGTCTATGGGGGAGGCCTATGTTCAGCAGTGGACTCAAACAGGCTGAAATGATGATGATGGTGATGATGGAAAGCAGTTGATTGCTAAAAAGGTGAGCAAGTATTTTCAGCTGCATGTAAAACAGTACACGCAAAACAAACATTCTTAAAATAAAAATAAAAAATCCTTAGACTAAAAATTTCGATATATTATACAGCGTGTCGTTACCATCGCGACAATAAATGAACACACATATAGGGGATAAGTTTTTAAAGTTGTATTAAACATTTAAATTCTTTCAACATCAATATTTACAGAGTTATTAAGTTTTCCAAAACAAAGAATTTTGGAACACCCTTACCTATAAAAGCGTAACGTAAAGTTCATTTGTAAAGGTCACAAAGCATATGAATGGGTTGAATGAATTTAAAAGAGACAAAAGATACTGTTAGAAGGAGAGGCTTGTATTACAACGCTGTGGCGCGAGTTGTATAGGATGTTACAAATTTTGTTCCTTTTTTTAATTATGGATTTTTTTTTAACGTTAACATTTTTTTTATGACTATTGGCAAGTAGCGTTAAACGTGTGTTCATTTTTTGTCGCGATGGTAGCGACACGCTGTATAACTATCTAAGGACCCGCCTCGGCTTTGCACGGGTGCTACCTTCCTCGTAAATCACTCTATCTAGTAAAAAAAAAAACGCATCAAGATCCGTTGCGTAGTTTTATAGATCTAAGCATACATAGGAACAGGCAGACTTTGTTGTATAATATGTAGTGCTTTCACACCAAAGCATCAATTTAGCGCTTTGGTGAAAGCGATGCGATTTTCATTTATTATTTTATTTAATTTTGTTACGTACATAATTGAAAAGAGCAAGAATTCGTTGAATTTTAAATTATTGCCATACTTTAATATTCATTTTTATTTTTTGTAAAAGATACAAAAAAAATTACTTTCTTACTTTATTAATTTGTGTATATTTTCCATAAGCTCTGACTATCGATAGTGTACTACTAACAAAATAAAATTAGACAATGAACATCGGCAGGCGAGACTGTCCACAGCTTCCCCTGCTCCTTAAATAAAAAATGAATTTTAATTTAAATAAATGTAAAAAAAAAATACAGTCAAAAGGTGTCAATCGATCTGGTGGTTCACCTGATGTTAAGTTATGACCGCCAGCCATTGACCTTAAATTTTTAAACTCATTTAAATACATCGTCTTAAGCAGGTCAAACTCTAGGGTTCATTTGTCAGCTTTTGCCATTATTCTGCTACGGCCCATCACCTGTTTTTCAGCAGCAATCAACGCAACCGTCATTAGTAGTAGCTTCATCGTAAATCTGTAGTCAACGGTACGCTTGGCCGGTTGCCAAATTGGACAAATATTGCCTCGGTTCCGCTTAATAGCGGACTTTGTATTCAACTTACAAAATTCGCCCTTGATTGTGAAACGAGTGATGGTTTTTAAAATTATTATTTTTAGGCACAAAACACATTGTACACCATTTTTGATAAATTAAAGTTATTGATTTCTTTAAACTTTTTTGTTATCTTAAATTTCACTTTTTAGTTAGGTATTGAGTCGCGAAAGCTCAATGTCCAGGCCTTTAATTACATGTACTCGAGCAACCTGAGTTCGATCCCCGGTGCCAGCACCAATGAAATTGTAAATTTTAAGTGTTGAATTATCACGTGTTTGGCATTGAAGGAAAACATCGTGAGGAAACCTGCATATTTTCGAAATAATAAGAAAAAAAATGTTTTGAAAATGGCCAAGGGACACCCTGTCCTGTGACCATGAATGCTGGCTTTTAATTCGCGAATATAAATCAAATTAAAATGCGATAGACTCCTACAAATTGCTTACAAATATAACCAGGTTTAAATAAAAATGTATAAAGAACACACGCAGCTTGGTAAAGTTTATAGCTATGTCCACATATTTTTTTCGCTCTCACTTCGGACAAGCCTCGTGGAACGGACAATTTTTTAGACTGTTAATAAGAGGTCTCGTGTATTGTTTTTTACACATTGCTTTTAGCTCAAAAATAGTCACAGCTTCAGATTTGAATATCATTGAATATACCTGCAAAAATGTATAGAAAGGATACAAAATGCCAACAAAATGTGTTGTTAAAAAACTTAAATTTCTTTAAAAAAAGTCTTCCTTTGTATTAGAACCATTTCATAATGGGGCTTTACTGTCAGGTCTTTTTTTACACGCTCGTTAGCAAGTGCTCCGTGCATATAAACAGTCACGTGGGACGTTCATTACGTAGGTGTGACTCTTGACGTATATTCTTTGAAGAAAAGTGGAATCGTTTTAAATAATAAAAATGTCTAACCGTTCTTTTTACATTATCTCTCAAATATTTCCCTTTCTTTCTCACCATCGTACAACTAAAAAACGGTCTAACAGCTCCATCAACTAACAGGCCTCTATCGTTTTAATATATTTCGTTCAAACGAATATACTACCGCCATCGTAAAACAAAAGAGTAGAACTATTCGGCAGCGTTCGAATTGTTTAGCACTTACACTTTAGCCACTGGACTTTTTTATTGACTGTCAGAAAGTGCATACGTCAGTATACGGGTTTATACAGTGTGAATGAATGAAAAGTATATACAGCGTGTCTTTACCATCGCGACAATAAATGAAAACACATATGGAGGATAACTTTTTAAAATTGTATTAAAGATTTACATTCTTTAAACATCAATATTTACCGAGTTATCAAATTTTCCAAAACAAAGAATTCTAGAACACACTTATGTATAAAACTTTAATGTAAAGTTCATTTGTAAAGGTTGCAAAGCATAAGAATGGGGTTGAATGAATTTAAAAGAGACAAAACATACTGTTAGAAGGAGAGGCTTGTAATGCGGCGCTGTGGCCACGAATGAAAAAGTCTCTGAATTTATGAATTGTAGTCAGTTGTAGTTGTATAGGATGTTACAAATTTTGTTTCTTTACTTAATTAGTTTGTTTGAAAAATATTTTTTTTAATTATGGATTTTTTTAATGTTAATATTTTTTTTTGATTAATGTTTTTTTTTTGATTTGTTATGATTATTAGCAAGTAGCGTTAGATGTGTGTTCATTTATTGTCGCGGTGGTAAAGACACGCTGTATACGTACAATTAATGTTTAGTTTAAGCCACTCAGTCTTTATATACCTACCAAGTTCTTTCGTAAACGACGTCCATTAAATATAAACATAGTTTCAAAAACAGGTTTTAAAAGACATGATAATTTCATTCGACACATTGTTACTTTCATATTAAAGTTAGGTGTTAAAATTTTAACTAAGTTACGTTCTTCACTGTTATATAGATATATAATCAAACATTTTCTATTAATTTACTTCGAAATAAATTTCACAAAATAAACGGTGTGAAAACTTCGGGCTTCTCCAAACGATTTGCTCTTAAACGATGAGAGGCGTCTGTCTGACATTTTAAGTTTAAACTCTATCTTTATATGAGCCTGTTCTAAGGAAATAAACTTTCCTTTCAATTAATGAGTGCGTAAGTAAAATAAGAGGAGCATTCGAGTTGCTACAAAAGAAACTAATTTAATGCCTATCGCTAAATTAGTACGCAAATTTCGAAGTTAATTTAAGTCAATGATAAAATATTATTATTTCAGAAACGATACTGTGGTCAAGGACTCAAGTCCAAGTAACGCGCCCCAAAAGAACTTTTTCACTTTTCTTACGTGGAAGAATCTCTTCCCCGCATTTGGGCATATCACACATCTTTATTCATGTTTTTTTAGGACTCCATGAATTTATTGACTTGATCTAATTAACAATAAACTGAAATGGATCCATATGGACAGGACAGCCTAGAAAGAGGAATGCGTTTACGTGGAATTTGATAGCATGAACTTTGCATTTATGGCTTCAAGTTTTGAATAAATTACAACTTCATAACAGAAAACAACGATGTATAAAAACATTTGATACTCGGGTTCCAAAACAGATTCGGTCACAAAATTCTCACTGGTGTAACAAGTCGGATGTATCTCAAAGTTATCGTTGAATTATACAGCTTTGAAAAAATAAATGTTAGAAAAACATGGAGAGTTGCAAGGTAAATATAAAAAGAACGGACAGACATGAAAAGCAGAATACATAATATTATTTTCTTTTCCAAGTCAAGTATCGTATATAAAAAGGTGGTGTAAATATCTCGCAGTAGAGGAAAATCACATTTTCAATAATAAGACATTTTTTTTCCATTAAATGGCAAATTTAAACTCTGGTCTAGCTTTTCAGGGTACACTTTACATAATACGTGGTAGTTAATGCCCGGTAGATAACAATCAACTAATTTTTTTACCATTAATATTTATTGTATAGGTTTGTTTGGGTGGATTTTGTATTTATTACATTCAATAAAGGTCTAAACGTTAATT